TATTATTAGAAACAATTGTTTGCACTATTCAAAGACACTTTTTATTAAACTGTGGCAATAGCAACGGTATAGTTAACTTCTATTATAACTATAAGTTTCAGGCTCAGGATTTTTTTTTACTTTAAGCCCTGTAAAATATATAATTATAAATACTTATGCTGCTTCAAACAAGGACGTTGCCATGGTTATTGCTTCACCTGGTGGCAGACTTCCAGGTATTTATACTAATTTACATATGTATTTGTGGGTGGTGACAGGGCGGACCAGCAGCTGCCCTCCATTTCCCACAAATTAGGATTTATAAAAAATTAGGTGCACGGCCATGTGCGTGCACACAGCTTTATTCATCCGATTTTTTTTGTGCGCCGAACTTTTCTAAATTTTTCCATACGCCAAGTTTTAGTGTGAAAACTGCGCACTCTTTATGCCTGATGCCTCAGAACCTTTAGTTGTCATTAAGTGGGTTCAGTCCCATGAGTCCCTGGTTGTCATTCACAAGAAGCTGACATTCACCAAATATTCTGATAAGGTCAACCAAAACGTTAATAAACAGTTTAACTTATTTTGCAAATGAAATCAGTTTGGATTATGTTAAAAGTTGGTTATTTTCTATAATTCTCTGATAGAACATGTCCCATCCATAGGAGACAAAATCGAAACAAATCAGAAAAGTGACCAGTGAAATTCTTGGTGTTAGCTGAATTTACAGAAACACTTTTAAAAAGTCGCACAGAATACATGCAGTGCTGCCCTGAAGAACTCTTCAGGGTGGATTTGAGATCCTACCATAAATTAACATTTTAACTAATAATTACAAAAGCTACTGATGCAATTCACATCACATCAAATGTGATTTTCAGATTTTTTAAGACTCAGTCTCATAGCTGAAGTGTGAAAATTACAGATCACTACATGAGGGAAACTTATGAAATCTGTGGCGTGTCAAATACTTATTTTCCCGACTGGATGAATGCTTTTTTGTTGTTTTTTTTCTAACAGATTATTGAAAAGTACTCTTCTCATTTTCCAGTTTTTTACATATTTCCATGGTATTTTGACAATGAACTCCAGTGTTGGAGGTTGGAAGGCCTCCATGTCATCATCCACAGACTCAAGACAATGTGAACAACGTTCTCCTCGGAGATTTAAAGTAATATTTATTACTTCATCATCCGTCAATCTGCTGAGGGTATGATTAAATGCATAAATATGTATATACTTGCTATGTGTTTATTAGGTTTGTCTTTAGTTTTGTATGCTATTTTTACCAGAGCTGTCAAGACTTGACATGTCAAATAAGAAAGGTTTATTCATTCATAAAATTTTCAACCCATAAAGTTCTATGATAATTAAAGAGTTTACATAAGAACACCACAAAACAGCTGAAAAGAGAGAGCTCTTTATATCCTGAAATAACTTCTTAGAAGGTTTTGGACATTCCAGTTTTACAAAAACAACTCTGGATTTTTAGCACCAAATGTAGGCAACAAATATCTTTAAAAAAATTTGATAAATGTTGAAGAAAAAAAAGAAAAAAAACTTGATCCTTTTTGCTGAACCATCAGGTGAGTTTATGCCTCATGTAGGGATGCGGCTGCGCAGGTACTCCAACACTGCATTCGTTCCCTTGGCAACAATGGCTGCTCTGGGCGTGCGGAAAGGATTCCCTTCCAGACTCAGGCATCTGAGGTTCAAGCAAAGTTCCAGTCGACAAAGAGTAGCATTTTACGTTTATTTATTGTTTTAGCTAAAAAATAATAATTCAATTGCAAAACTTGTAGAAATTTTCCCAATAATGCTGCTTACCTGAGACTGGTACACAAGCCCAGTTCAGGAGGGACGTTGAGCAGGTCGTTGTTGGACAGATCCAGGGTGGACAGACTGAGCAGCTGCATCAGACGGCTGGGATCTACCCCACCCACCTGGTTGTTCCCCAGCATCACTGTCTCCAAGGTTACAATCTGATACAGAGCTTCAGGGAAGGAGCTGAACCTGCATTACAACAAGTTAATATTCCCCACCTTGTTTTTTACTTTCATGAGATGGAGATCTTTGTTAAATTATTTTAGTAATAATTCTATCAAGTCCATTACACAGTTAGAAACCCCCAATAGATGTTTAGTTGCTTCAAAACAAAAGCTCATATTTACTTATTTATCTCTGGAAACAAAAGTGATTTATTTGTTTGTCTATGTTAAACATAGATGAACATTTCTAGACATACTTCTACCTCTAGAGCTACCAGTTCAGTCTGGCCATCTGGCTGGGAGCTGATGGAGGACTTTTCTCTGTATTCACACCACAGCATGTCAATGAGATCAAGACTAGGGCTTTGACTAGGCCCAAGCCCTTTGTTAATCCTCAATAAGTCTTTGGTGGGTTCACTGGTATGTTTTGGGTCGCTGTCAGATTTCTGGGTCCAGTTTTGCTTCCACTTTTTATTTTGTCCAAGCACCCTATGAAACACCATACAAGTGTATCCAAGGGTCACTCTCACTCTCATGACTCAAACAGTCCCTGACCAATCAGTGACCAGGTCTTCTGTCGACTGGGATTGGTTCAGATGGGAGAAACAGGGTCGGTACCAGTAGCTAACCAAAGAGCCGACAGTCAGGTGCAGTTGAATTTTAAAATGGGGACTACTCTCGTTTCAACTGGTGGCCCTGATGTCACTCACACACACACACTTCTGCACTCCATGAACAGAGTATGGCGGCAGTCCGCTGCTGCTAATTGGCTTTAATAAAAAAAAAAAGAAAAAGAAAAAACAGATCCAGGTGGAGCTACCTGTTGTGGTTTAGCACAATGCATCGTAGTTTGGAAAGGTTCTTCATTTCAGAGGGTAAATCAGTCAGCTGGTTGTTCCTGAAACAAGGAAGACACAGACTGTTGCTGGTATGGACACAATACATCACTTCATTATACATGAGCTTCACTGTAAATTCCAAAGTTATTTTATTGTTCTGCTGCTTGTTCAGAATCTCCAGATGTGAGGCTGACCTCAGTACTAGCAGGGAACTACAGTGGCTTTAGAGCTAATCAAACTGCTTCGTGATTCGCTCCCTGCTCTTCCAACACGCCCGCATTAGGTAGCTTCCTCACTATCTGCTGCTAAAGGGTGCCAAACTGACAAGTCACCTTAAAGGGCCAGGATTATGCATTTTCCCAGGCACATAGTGCCATTTTATAACATAATCAACTGTTATCTTCAGTTGTTATGAAAATGCTGTATTTATATCAAACACACAAGACATGTGACGTCACAATTTAATGCTTTAAAATTGGCCGTTTACAAACGTTCTCAGAAAAGAAACAAAGGGAAAACCAAGAGCGCCACTCTGGTTTATTTGTACTTATATTTAGGTAGAATATGAGTTCTGAGAACATTATGAATAAATTCAATAATAAATATCAAAATTAATTACTCCAAAATGTTTTAGAAAAGTGGGAAGTAACAACAGCTCTAAATGTGTCATACATAAACAAATAGGAATCAAAAGTTAAGGACTAAATAAATTCAGGAATGTGCAGACCTGAATCTGAGTGGACTGTGTCACTATTGTCACTATTGTCATTTCATCTCCTACTAGCTGAACAGAACCACGATGTGAGCGTACCTGAGGTCAATGTGTGTGAGCTTCTGGAGGGAGCAGATGTCAGCAGAACAGCAGCTCAGTCTGTTAAAGCCCAGGTTGATATCCGATAGCGAGGAGTGGAGCTCCAGCAGTCTGCACACAGCGCACAGCAGGAGGGGGTGTGACTTTATTACATCAGGTAGTTTACCCACAATCCTGTCTGGTGCAGTGATACGCACCGGGGTGGGAAAGCTGTCAGCTGGTTCCTGCTGAAGTTAACAGAGGTGATGGCCTGATGTGCTGCAGCATCAAACACCTCGTCTGGAACACTGGCTGCCTGCTTGTCACTGAACACACACATTAACACACACTGGGATAAAACACAAATATTAATAAATTCTGCAGTAAAAACTGTGGTCAACTAGAAAATTAGAACTAAAACAAGATTAAGCGCATTAGACAAGCATCAGTTTTCTTTTAAGTCATTTCTGAAACCTTTACCTTGGTGTTAACTCATTTATTATTTTACTCCTCCAGAAGTTCAGATCAGACTGGGCAGAATCTTCATCCATTCATTTTTACATTTAATAATTCTCACTGTTTGCTTTGAAAACTGTTTCCTATGAACTGTTCCAGAAAACCCTCCAACTCTGGTCTCTGCTATACGTTCCTTGTAGAAGGAAAGATGTTTGCCTTTATATACTAGGAAAATCCATCGAAATTAAAAACTTCTTTTCAAGGGAGTTTTGGTCAACAGGCAGCAAACATTATACAAGAAAAAAATAGAAAGCAAAGGAGAGCTGAAGAGTTCAGGTCAGAGTGACAACATGTTGGACCAGTTCCAGTCAGCTGCAGCAGAATTCAAGCACATACCTGAACAGAACCTCCTGCAGCTCTGATCAGGCCTTCAGCCTGGACTGGCTTAGCAACAATAACAAGGAAACACACAAACAGGACAAGACCAGCTTTCATTGTCAGTGAGTGAAAATAGACTCACATGTACTCCAACATCTTCAGAGTTTTGATGTTGTGCGTGTTGACCAGACCTTCAGAAGGTAACGTCATGGCAGTGGGCCCAGCCGCTCCCTCAGCCTCCTCTGCACATTGATGGACAAAACAGGTGACTGGAAGAAACTTGGAAATATTCCATAAAAGAACAAAAATCATTTACATACATGATTTATGTAAGGTTCTTGTTAAATGCGCAGGTCTGACTGCAAGGTTTAGTGTTAACCACTTTGTAGAATCAGAAGTAGGCATGGAGTCATGATTGGGGTGAATAATTGATGCAACTGATGCAAAGAGGTTTGTTTATATTGCTAATTATTGCAGTGGAAATAATAATGATAATAATAACAGCAACAATTAAACAAAAATAAATTGCTCAAAAGAAACAAGGGGGGAAAAAGACAAACAAACCAACAAAGAAATAATAATAATAATCAGTGATACTTCAAAACCTAATGGAGTTCAAATGAAGTCCAAGAATAAGGGGAGAATAGTTCTTTTCCTTTTAATACTCCTTTAGAGTTTAGTTTGTTTCCTGTGTGAAGAGTGTCGTTTCGTTTTCCTACCACCAGGTGGTGTGTGAGTAGCTCACCATCCTCCGTCATCAAGTGAGTCGATGAAGGGGGGGGGGGAAAAACCTGACCATTGAGTAACGGATTATCTGAGGAGATGGATGCAATGTTGACTGGTTCTCATCAGGAAGGTATACCAGGCGTCAACAAATCCCAACCGCAGATCCTCAAATGTTAGGGATTAAATTGTTCAGTGATGAGTCGATTTGGAAATTTCAGATTGTTTTATGAACAACCGACGCCACAACCAACAGTGAACAATAGCATAGTGGAAACCCGGAAATACGCACGAGGATCCCAGAGCTTAAAGGGACGGTGGTTGGGTCATGGCAGTCATGTGGGTTACATTTAGTAAATCAAATAGTTCATAGATGAAAACCAGATAATTATTATAGTAGTTTTATTTCTAACAGGAGTTTGAGTAGCCATACTAAATAGGTTGTTGCTCCTGTTATCAGAGACTCTAAAGAAACTGAACTTATATATTCTCTGTTGTTACTCAACTCAGCTGTTCTTTACTGAAGTGATTGTCTTCTGGCCTCCATGTGTGTCTGGACTAACAGCTGTTTGTAGAACTGATTGGACATTTGAAGCTCATTGAAGCAGGATGAAATGAGTCTTTAGTTTTAAATATTTCTGAAGTTAAAAACATAAACTTCACCTTTAATTCTTCCTCTTAGATATTTCAGAAGGTCACTGGTTCCTTTCTGTGGTGAAACAACACTTTAGGTTAGTATTGAGTTAATGAAGAACATGGATATAGGAACAATGATGAGTAATAGGTGTGAGGTATTGATGGTGTTAGACAGTATACACCAAGTATTCTAGTAGTAGTCTTTATTTCATGTGTCATACACCCTTACAGGTGCCCAGCCCACATGGGCTTACAAGACACAATAAAACATATACAAACGAGCGGACAGACATAAATATTCGGTAACGCTTTATTTGAAGGGGTGTGCATAAGACTGACATGACACTGTCATAAACATGACATAACATCTGTCATGAACATGAACGAGTCCTTATTAATGTTTTGACAGTTGTCATGAAGTGTCATGCAAAGTTGCTCTAAAAGTTGCATTGAAAATTCATTAAAAATGCCAACATTGCATTAAATTGTCATTATTTACAAAATCATGCAAAGTTGGCTCTTTTAATGGACTTTTAATGCAACTTTGCATTAAAAGTGTCATTATTTACCGAATGACACTTCATGACAACTGTCATAAACATTAATAAGGACTCGTTCATGTTCATGACAGATGTTATGTCATGTTTATGACAGTGTTATGTCAGTCTTATGCACACCCCTTCAAATAAAGTGTTACCGAATATTCTTTAAACAAAAAACATCCTCTTTCTATGGTGCCAAAATAAACTGTGCTAAGTGAAACAAAACATATTTCAATAAATAACACATTTTATCCTCATCCATTAAATAAAAGAAATCTGGATAAACGTCAAGTATTTTAGTAAATAAATAATTTCTTAAAGTCAGGTACAAAGGACAATACAACAAAAAGTGCACTTCACTCTCAATTTCCCCCCAAATCACACAATGAACATCGTCGGTCTTCCTCTGGGACTGAACAAAAACGTCCGGTTTCTGGCAAAGTGCCAGATCTAAACTGGTAATTTTCAAATCTGTATTATTACAGTGAATAGCTGTGTTCTATGGGTGGAAAAAAAATACTGATTTTTTTTCAAACAAAAAAATCAGTATTTTTTTGTTTGAAAAATACTGATTATTAATGTGTGAGTAATAATAGTCACACATTAATAATGTGTGACTATTATTAATTATTGAATTATTTTTTCACTATATTCAACTTGGACTTTTTTTTTTACACAGCATGAAGCTGTTCTCATGTTGGCTCCTTTAACACCAATGTGTGTCATTTATTGATTCCAAAGTTTCTACTGAATAAACTTTGGTTGAGTATGGTAGTAACCACAACATCTTTATAGTCATATTGGCATATGAACAGATGTAAACATGTCCCTCCAGGAGGACACGCAGAGGAAGCCCAGGACAGGCTGGAGGGACAGAGTCCCTCAAATTAACCAAAGACTCCGAGAAGTCACTATGAGCTACCAGTTTAGTCCAATTATTAAGCAAACTAATATACATTTACACATTTTTCTTGATTAGAAAGGCAAGTCATACCAACACAAAAATAAGCATAAATAACCTCCTCATATTTGCTATAATGAGGGAAAGTTTAGCAGTCTTAGATTTATTAAGATTAAACAGTCATTTACGAGATTTTCTCGGATTTTCCTGAAAGTTTCTATGAATTTTTTTTTACTCTCATCTGACTGCTTTTCTGATCTGATCCCAGAAGAAATGGAGGAACAGCAGGGTGGCAGAGTGATGCCTCCTGTCCATGGAGACATCTAGGTGTCTCTTCCTGTCCTTGTGAAGATGACAGGTCTGGACTTCCTGTAGCTAGCAGCCTGGTTCTGCTGAGCACTGAGCCGGAGGCAACTGCCGTCTGGAACGACTAAGACTACAGCTGGAGTTGTATTGAAAGGTAAAAGCTGATAAATATAAAGTTACTGCGTGGGTCGAGTCTCAGGAGATTCCATCTGACAATAAGAAACACTTTCTGTTTGGGAGTCTCGCAGAAAGATCTCTGGTCTACTCAGCTTGTAGGAAAAATGGCTTTTAGTGTTGCAGCATGTGATGTTGATTAAAACAATACAAAGGTACAAAACAGTCCCACTGCCCAGGTCACCAGACTGGACCGGGTCACATTCTCTACTGGCTGTCAACAGATCTGGAAAAGTCAAACTTTAGAAAGGATGGAGAAAATTCTTCCAGGTTGTTAAACTCACTGAAACACAGAATTAAATCAAAGATGTTGTCTCAGGATAATGTGTGTTTACTGAAGTAAAAGTATGACAACAGCATTTAAATTCAATTTTAATTTAACTATTGAGATATTAATCATGTTCTATGTATTCACACCAAAGGACAAATCTGGGTGCTGAAAACTGATAATGAAATCAGGAATGATTATGTTCCCTTATGATCCACCAGCTACCAGCTTCAGCATCTCAGAAACTAAAATCCGGCTGAAGTGTGAGCATCATGGGCTGTTGGAGTCCATCTGATTGGTCAAACATAATATCCATATGCAGAATGTAAACGTCTGCCTGCACTACAAGATACTAAATTAAAGCAGAGCTTTGTGATTGGGACACACTGTTATTGTAATGATAATTGGAATTCAATATGTTGTGCTGCTCTTAGCACTGAAGTATAAAACATTCTGTAAAGGACTGAAAATTAAACATCCCAGCACACAGCAGCCTGACTCCACACACAAAACCTAAACATGAGCATCTTGTTGAGTTCTCACTGACTGAGTCAGTGAGAACTCAACACAGTCAGCTGAACATGAATGAGCCCCACGCTTTAGGAATGCTGTGATGTCAGCCTTCAGTTCCTGCACAGACCCAATAGACACAGTGTGTGTGTTTTTGAGGTGTGACCTACAGCCAGAAGTTCCCTCCTGATTCCACGGAGAGGGTTTCCCTCCAGCAGCAACACCTTCAGATTGGGCAGCAGGCTCAGAGAGGCGGGAAGACTGCCAAACACACCACAGTTCCAATGCAGATGGAAAACACAGCAGCCTGCATGGTCAGAGCGGAGGGTGTGTGTGTGTGTGTAAATGCCTACGTGCTGATGTCATTGTTAGAGAGGTCCAGCCGGGTCAGAGTGAGCAGCAGCGCGAGTTCTTCAGGAAGATTTCTGATCTTGTTGTCTCTCAGTTCTAGAAGAGTCACAGCAGAGAGACAGGACAGCTGCTCGGCCTCCAGCAGCTCCACCTGGTTGTTCCCAGCAAACACTTCCTACACACACACACACACACACATCACAGTTTATTGCAAACTTTGCCAATACACAGATAGATTGGGTCACAGCTCATACACTAGAACCAATAGTTGTGGACTGATTGCCATGGTTACCCGGAGAGCAGGAGCAGGCAGCTGTGGCAGCCGGCGCAACTTGTTGTGTTGCAGGTAGAGCTGCTCCAGAGCCAGCATCCCGGCCAGGCTGACAGGAACGTTAGTCAGCTGATTGTGGCTGCAGTCCAGGAGCTTCACGTCTGCCGGGTCGGGTCAGAACACAAAACGCTTCAAACATCTACATGATACCTGACAGCTACTTATATTTAACAAAGCAAAAAAAGGTTTGCTACATTAAAACTGTTCACAGAAATTTCCAAATAGTTGTGTACCATTGCTTACTGTGCCGTCCATGATTAAATAAACTTAATTTAAACAGATTTTTATAAAAAAAACAAAAAAACAACTGAACATGAGAACCAATAAAAGCCAATATGTGATTACATACGTTAATTTTCATGTTCATGTTTAAAAATCACAAACTATTCTATGACAACATCAGAGTGAACTATGCAGTCTAAACGTGTAGCCTCCTTGTGGCCTCAGAGCTGCTCTTACTTGCCAGCTGGCCCAGGCCGTCAGGCAGACTGCTCAGCTTGTTGTGACAAAGGGAGATTTTCCTCAGAGCTGAGAGACGGCCAACACTGCAGGGCAGATGCTTCAGAAGGTTGTTGGACAGATCCTTCAAGCAATCACAAAAAGAAGAACACAGGCATCATTAAATGACAAAACGCATTTTGTCAGTGTATCAATCACTGAAGAGTGTATCAATCACTCTTCAGTGATTGATACACTGAAGAGTGTATCAATCATGTGAGCTGTAGCTGCCATTATGAAGCAACCTGGTTCACAAGTGGTTTTGTTTGAAGAACAAATGCTGTGAAGAAGTGGTTCGTTTCAGTCTGAGTGGAATGACAGATCCCCCTTTCAGCCAGAGGGAGCTCATTCCTAGGGGTTGCACCAATTAGTCGACTAGTCGATTCTTTTCTCTGCAATGACTTTTTTCTGGGCCAGTCACTAGTCGCAATCACGGGACAAAACAGATTTTTCCAAGGAAATGAAAGAAGGCGGACTAGGTGAGTTCGTCAGAAAGATGAAATTGTATAAAAATGTAAATAATTTAACAAAGAGAAACTCTAAATGACAGCATAGGCTACCAGTGGCGGAGGTAGACTTTTAAAGTTGGGGGGGCTAAGGGGGGGCCAAAATTTAAAATGTGTGTGCGCACATCTATATATCTATCTAGTCGATATATATATATATAATCATTTTAAAAAATAACAAAAAATATTTATTTTTTTAAGCCCCTCTGTCATATGACAGGTTATAATTAACACCTTTGACTGGTTCACATGGAGACATGACAGACTTTACGCAAAGAGTTCATCGCAGAGGCAACTAAAATCAATCAATAAAAAAATCCTTTCTGAATATCATCTCATGGACACTGAACTAAATGCGTCTTTCTGACCGGGAGCTGACAGCGTGTTGAAGAGTGATGGACAGGACACCTTGGTTAGGAAGCTCATTGCAAATCTTTAGTTGAAATGGCGCCTTTAACTCCAGTCTCCAGTACAGAACAGAGAAAACTAAAGACAATGCAACGTTGTTTTAATCCATTTATAGTCTAAACTGAGGAGCCAGCAGTTTATTTTGAGGAAATAAATAAAGGTGCAGAAGTTAATTAGATCCATGCGCAGTGCGCATGGTGGCTGGTCCATCCTGACCCAAAACCAGCAACAACCAGTCAACTGCGTTCAGCTGAGCTCTGCACGGGCCATGACCATAAGGAATTCAGAAAGCACTTCACACATGGTTCACACACTTCTGTGTGACTGATACAGACTGGGTTCTCAAACATAACTCAATATTTCTATGACTGCATAGAATTGTGTGAGAACCCACACACAAAATCTAAACATGAGCCACACACAAATGTGATTGTGATTGGCTGAAAGCAGCCAATCACAGAGCTACAGAGCTAATTGAATCAGGGAGCTGGGAGAGCAGCACCTCATTAGATACCATGACTCTGCTGGCACCGACCTGCAGCTTACAGGAAATGATGTTTATACACTCTTAAAAAGTATTAAATACACCTTCTAATAACCTCATTTTGTTCAAGGTTCTAATATTGGAAAATAAATTGTTGCTGTCCATCAATGTGGGAAAGATACCGAGGCTATTTCCAAACAATCTACATTTCAAACTGCCACAACTTTCCTTTAGGACTGGCGAGGAAAGCTTGTTAAGATATCAGTAGCAACCAAACCATGAGGTGACCCACTGAAGATCATGAAGAACAGAGTCATCCCTTCATTTGGTTCTGTCACTTTTCCACTGAACTGCAGAGGACCAGACCAACTGGGTCCAGTCATGCCTGTGTCCCACACAGGCCCATACATCTCTACTAGGTAGAACAGACTTCCCTTGTTTCCATTGCTCCCTCTGATCTGAACCAGAATGTGGATGAGCTGCCCTAACAAATGAAGAGGCTGGGTTAGTTTGGTCTGTTGAAAGCAGAACAAACAGCTCCGTCACAAGATCCTCTCTCACATCAAAGACAGATGTGAGTGTGTGGTGAGATACCAGCTCTGTCAGGTTCCCCAGCTCTCCTATTTCCTCTGGCACAGTTTCCAGGAGATTCTGCTGAAGTGTGAGGGAACGAAGGTTGTTTAGGGAACACACCTCTGTTGGCAGCGATGACAGCTTATTATGGCTGTAACAAAAACATATAGTTAATTTTGATTTGAAACCACTCAGGATAGTTTTACTCAGAGATGAATCTCAACAATAAAGCGGTGATCATGTCAGTCAGCTTCAGGCTCAGTGAAAAGTGCTTCATCTATTCACCTGCTGTGTTCTCTCATGCAGAGAGTTTCAGGTTTCTGTGATTCTTTTCCTTTATTTTGTCCAAACACATGAAAACACACAAATTATTCAGAGATAATGTCCTGCTCCTCTTTGTACTTCTCAAAAGGTCTGACTGTGAAAAAGAAGTTAGACTGGTGACTGATGTCTCCACAGAAAACTCACCATGAAACTGACTAACTGTACCTTAGTCGCAGCTGCTGAAGCTCCTGCAGCTCTCCAAGAGCGCTGGGTAAACTGCTCAGCTGGTTGTCATGGAGCTGCAAGAACAACTTGGTGAATAAGAGATTGGTTAAACTTAAAGAAAATCAATTTATCCCAATAAAATACATCAGACAAAGTTTGTACTGATAAAATATCAAATTGACAGTCCAGTGGGAGGTCGGGGAGACTCCAGAATGGTTGTCATTGGGAGATTCAAGGATTCCTCAAATATGCATGAACGAATTAAAGCAACTCTCCAGGAATGTTTTTGATGAGGGAATAATGTTATAAAATGATGGAAAGCTCAAAGAAACATAATTTCAAAGCACCATCCATCCATTAAAAAGTTTTTTTTTTTACTTTTACCTTGATGCAAAATTCTCCACAGAAACACAGGGGGTTCATACAAATGCTGATGAAGGTGAAGCTTCTCAGCAAATCGTCCAGTTTGAGTGAGAGTTGGCGCTGAACTTCAGAGATGCTGCTGCCACAGCGCATGAGGCGGCCAATGCACAGTGGCCCGTCTGTGGTTGGTGCTCATCTGCAGCTTCCTGCCCTCCTCAATGCATCAAATATAAACCTGTCTTTCAGGAAGGACTCCGCTCCACCGGTGCACAGTGGAGTGGACTGCAGCAAAGACACTAGTATATATAAAAAAAAACCTATTTAAACTTGATAACTTGCATCAACTGAATTTTTTGGCTTGTTGCATCTTATGCTCCAATTTTTCACAAAATTAATGTTTTTTAATTAGAGGTGTGCCGATCGATCGGCCACCGATCATAATTGGCCGATTTCCGGAAGAAAAGTGTATGATCGGTGATTGCTGATCATGGTTTCTTGTTGTCGATCACATTTATCTCACTTCGCAGCCTGCATGTTCAGCTGATCTCTCCTCTTTCCTTCACACTGCGCAAGCGCTCGGAAACAAATCCTGTCGCGTGAGAGTGTGTTGCGGCGGAAAAGTACCTTGGGGTTGAAGCACGTCAAAATGCATCAACACAACAATTCTAATATGGCATGTAAAAAACAAACACTTGATGGAGTTTGGCTACATCGAGGCTCACTGCAGGAACAAAAGGACATCCGGAGTGGCCAGTAAAGCAACGCTAAACTACCAACACTCACCCGGATTAGCATCACTGTCAGAAAGCTAAACATATAACCCAAAAAATAATTAAAGTCTTCGAGCTGGCGGTGTAAGACGTTGGTTCTGCTCTCGCTATTGGACCGCCGCTACGCGCTACTAGTGGTAATATTTCACAGACGGAGCGCCATTTCTGTTCCACCAGTGAACTCTCACACCAAACAGCTACTTAAAGCTGCAGCATACAACTTAAAAAAAATAAAAATATTTTAGATATGCATTAAAACTTTTGCTGTCCTAATCTCTGAAAATAATTGATCTCCTCTTTCTCCTCCCTGTGTTCTGCAGAATTTGATCAGAAGCAACAAATCAGAGCAGCCTTAATCAGCTAGCCATTGTCAAGAAAAGTCGAGCTCAGCCCACTTCCCCATGCTGGAGATTTTAGTTTAATAATAACAATAAACAAAGTTATCTTTAAAACTGATTATACAGGTGACATCAAGACCCAACAGATTACTTTTAGACGGTAATAAAAGTAATCTGGTTGTGTGTGTTGTTATTGTGTCCTGCTGTTATTGTGTCCTGCAAACTTTGCTTTAATTCTACTTTTTTCTATTTAATCATAAATAATGATAGTCAGGCAGAAGGAGAGTTATGAAACAGGAAGAGCAGGTTTCCTGAAGAAAGAGGAAGTTTCCAGCCTGCAGTAGTACAGATGGCTCATTCAGGGCATTAAAGGTTTAAGGAATAAAATCTAAACATTTTGAGTAATTGGATAAAACCCAGAGTAAAATACTTGAATTAATAATGA